ACTGGGCCAGCCCGGGCTGCCCGGCTGCTGCTGTGGGACTCACCGGGCTAGGTGGAGGCCAGGCGGGCTGAGGCGTGTCCGGGCGTGGAGGAGCGGAGCAGCCCTGTGTGGTCCTTGTGCCCATGGGTGGCAGCTGCCGTGCCCTGCGCGTGTGCTGGACAGGAGTGGAGCGTCGGTGCCCTGGGGCTGCCACAGAAAGCGCCGCTCGTGGTCTGACAGGCGGGGTCCCTCCAGAGGGGCTCTGGGGCTCTGGTGGCCTCATGGCCCCCACCTGCCCTGTGTGTCCCCTTTTGTAAGGGGGCTGAGTATTGGGTCTGGGGCCCGGTCTAGCACCCTATCTTGACTAATTTATGGCCCCAGTGACCTATTTTCAAAGGTTCTGAGTTCTTGGAGGTCAGGACTTCAACATATGAGATTTGGAGGTACAATTCAACCCCTAACAGTGGCGATAGATTCCTGGGTAGATAAACAGAGGATTATAGGAAGGGTGAGTAAGGGTGTTTTTATAAAAACATAAACTTAGTGTCTTGGTTGAAGCTTGACTTACATGTAGCAAGCTGCACTGCATAGAGCATCATGAGCTGAGTTTGTCTCCTGTCATGCAGATGCTTCCTCTGGTGTCTGCACCCTCCTTCCCTCCTTCCACCCAGCCACCCCAGGGCACTGCCAGCCACCTGTCTCCATGCATGAGTCTGCTTTCTCGGTTTCTGTGAGGAGGGAGCCTGTCTCTCCTGAGGTCTGGCTGGCATGTTTGTGTGGCAGTCAGATTGGGCTCCGAGAAGGTGGTCCGAGTGCAGAGGCCAGGCTGGGTCCCCAGGACCCCCTTTCCTACTCTGGTAGGTGCGCAGTAGCCCCTCATTGTGGCTTCTGTTTGTTTTATTTTGAGACAGAGTTTCTCTATATAGTTTGGGCTGGCTTTGAACTCAGTGTAGCCCATGCTGGCCTTGAACTTGAAGCAATCCTCCTGCCTCAGCCTCCTGAGCACTAGAATTACAGGTGTGTGCCCGCACGCCTGGCTGGGCTTTCATTTGTGTCTTGCTGATGGCCAATGGCTGAGCTGTCTGTGTTGAGCCAGTGGTGATGTGTCTCCCACGTGCCGTGTCTGTTCGAAATGTTGTCCATTAGAAATTTCACCACAGTTATGAAGAGAGGTTTTAGACTCACAGAGTTAAAATCGGCCTCCTTCAAGTCCTGGTGGGCGCCTGGCCACTAACACTAGAATCAGAGCTGTTGGGTCTTAGAGCTGAGGGTGCCTTGCTTCCACTTTGAGTTAATTATTCACTTACTATATTACTTTTTTTTTTTGAGTCAGGGTCTCACTGTGTAGTTCAGACTGGCTCTGAACTCACTGTGTAGCCCAGATTGGCCTCGAACTCTCAGAGATCCCCTGCCTCAGCCTCCTGAGTGCTGGGATTACAGGTATGCACCACCATGCCCGGCTCACTTACTATATTACACTTTAAGCAAGATTTAAAATGTTTAACCCTAACCGAAATGCAGAAGTTAAGTTAGAGGTTAAAGTGCAATGAAGTGTGAACGTGGTGAAATAGTTTGAACTGATGTTTGAGAGGGACATGTGTGTCTCAGAGTCATTCAGAGTGAAAGCAGGGCTCTTCCTGAGTGTAACCTGCTGACTGGGACGAGGGCCAGGTGCAGGGACCCTGCAGCTGTCTGATTCCCAGCCCGTAGGGATTGTCATGCTCCACGTGCCCAGGTCCTGGTGCTGAACTGAAGACTGGATGGAACTGGTGTCTGTTGGGCATGACTGAGGCAGGAGGCCTAAATTATATCCATTATTTTACATTTTCATTAGAACACCAAGTCTTCCTGGTGGAACTCTTTAAGGGCTCAAAGGGGAAAACGAGCCCACCCTGCTCTCTACATTGATATTTTGAACTCACAGTACAGCAAATGAAATTTATGCTTAGCCTTTAGATTTCATGGTTCTTTTGCCTTTTTTTTTTGAGACAGGTCTTGCTATGCAATTCAGGCTGGCCTTGAACTCACTATGTAGCTCAGGCTGGCCTCAATTACTGGGCGATCCTCCTGCCTCAGCCTCCTGAATGCTGGGATTATAGGTGTGTGCCATCAGGCCCCAAGATTCTTTTGTATTTTAAGATGTGCTACCTGGTGTGATGGCACATGGCTGTGATCCCAGCACTTTGGGAGGCTAAGGCGGGAAGATCAAAAGTTCAAACCCAGGGCTGGGGATTCAGCTTAGTGGTTCTGCCCCCTGCCTTGCAAGCACAAGGACCTGAGTTTGATCCCTGGTACTAAAAAAAAAGTTCAAACCCAGCTTGGGCCTGTGATGCTGCCTCAAAATAATAAAAAAGGGCTGGGGGTGTAGCTTCATGGGAAGACTCTGTATTTGATCCCCAGCACTAAAGAAGAAAGAAGAGGAGGAGGAGGAGGGCAGAGAGAAAAAATTACACCAAGTTATTCAGCCTTTACTCGTGAAGCCTTAAGGGCTGTGTGAAAGAGTTGGAATTGATAAGTGCGCATCTTAAGTAGTACAGCTTCTGCGTATAATTCTAAAAATTGTAGATTTTTATTATTATTATTTTTTTGTACTGAGGATCGAACTCGGGACCTTGCGCTTGTGAGGCAGGCGGTGGAACCACTGAGCTGAATCCCCGGCCCCTTTATTGTGTATTTTTACATAATGTTTGCAGTGCGTAATGATCACATTGTCATGGGAGTTTGCACACGTATGTAATACATCTTAATTCTTTATTTTTTTGTCCCCTTCCTCTCTTGTCTCTCCCTGCTCCCTCCAACTCTTTTTTTTTTTTTTTGGTCCAGGGATCAAACTCGGGACCTTGCACTTGTGAGGCAGGCGGCGGAACCCCTGAGCTGAACCCCAGCCCCCCCTCCAACTCTTGATCCCTTCCCATTTGATGATCCCTGTTTCCATTTTCTTCTTTGATTCTTACTTTTCTTCTGGTATCAGAATCGAACTCAGAGCCTTGCGCTTGCCAGGCAGGTGGGGCACTGCTGAGCTTCATTCCCCGCCCTCTCTTTGATTCTTTTTTAACCCTTTTCCTGCCTTCCCAACCCCTCCATGTCTTGTTCCCCTTCCCCTTCCTTTGAAAAAGATCTCCCTACTCCCTAGTATTTATCCTTTATTTTGCTCTTTATTTATATTTTAGGTTTCTCAACCATGTGATATTTAAACTTGCGTGTCTGACGTATTTCACTTAACATTATGGTCTCGAGGTACATCCATTTGCCTACAAATGCCTCAAGTTTATCCTTGTTTATTTTGCCTGTAATTTTAAAAAGCAGCTTTGTGGTTGATTTCCCTTTACCTTTTGGGATTGTTTGGAGAAAGATTTGGAATGTCTTTGTCTCTTTGGTAAGTGACTGGTGTAGAAGGGATTCATCCTCTTCCTGTCAGTGTCACCTGATGGGAACAGGTTTTGGCAGTTAAGGTTTGCTCGCAGTTTCTTCTGTGGGAGATGTGGGTACTGTGACCTCACTGCTTCAGTCCTCAGGGCTGAGCGGAGCTGGCAGCCCTGGTGTGGTCCTGGTCACTAGGCCAGCACAGGGTGCCAGACGCAGGAGTGCAGGGGCACTGGTGCTAGGAGTACTCGCTGGGCGTAGGCCCCTGGGCTCCAGGGGCCCGATGTGAGCTGGCGCAGCTCCCTGTGTGTGCAGTGTGGAGCTGAACCCCTCCTTTCCCTCCTTCGTGGGATTGGAAGTGTCAGGAACCGCTGGCCCAGAAAGGCCAGGTCCCCAGCTGCCACCTTTCGTCACTGGGCCTCTGGATCATGTGCACCGTCCTTGTGCTTCCAGCATTGGTGGGGAGACTTGACTTTCAGAGTTTGGTCCTGGAACATGATTCAAGTTGTTTGGGTAGCCAGAGTGGTTTTCTGTTTGAAACTGAAGTGTCTTGAGACGAGTGAGCTATAAATGAAGCAGGTACTGGAGAGTCTACAGGGCAAGACACAGAAATGGTAGAAACAGTGGCAGGTTGCCAGGTGTGATGGCGCATGCCTGTGATCCCAGTGCTAAGGAGGCAGAGGCAGGAGGATTGCTGAGAGTTCAGATCCAGCCCCGGCTACAAAGTGAGTTCAAGGGGAGCCTGAATTACACAATGAGACCCTGTCTCAAAAAAAAAAAAAGAAAAAAAAAGTAAGTATAATTTTTCTATAGCAGTCAGTGCAGCTTTTGTGCAGTCTGACTGCCTGCAGCCCCACCCACTCTGCCCATCGTCCCACCCAGCCCTTAGGCCACACTGAGGAACAGCTGTGTCTTGTCACGGACTGCAACGAGCCCTCTGCACAGGCCTGTGAGCTGTCAGGTGCGCAGGTGTTTTGAGATGAAGAGGTTATCTGTCTGCAGGAGTGTGACCTGGGAGCGGGCATGTGTCTTGTGCGTGGGTGTGTGTGTCCCGGGAGTGAGTGTGTGTTCCACTTTGGACGGGATTCTCCCCAGGGCAGGTGCTCTACCACCCTGCACCACAGAGGAAACTTGCGGTGCGCATGCCTTAGTCTCGGTGTGCTTCTCCCTGTCCGGCTCCTGGGGGCCCTGACCTGGTGGCTGGCCAGAAGTGGGGCCTCCATCTTCAGGGCCGGAGCTGCTGGGAAGCAACTGGGAAGCAGCAGGGGCAGCCAGGCTTCTGTTGGAGGGAGGTTGCTCTCACACTGCATGTCCTTCATACACTGGAGGATGATTAACTTTGAGACCAAAGCTCATGTCTAAAATTTCCCTGGACTTGGAGGATTCATGTATATTCTTACCATTTCACACTAATCTCCTTAAATTTTGTCACCTTTTACCTTTTAGTGTATAACTGACTTTTTTCCCCAAATGAAAATTTTATGCTTTTTCTCTTTTTTTGAGACAGGGTGTTGCTCTGTAGTTCAAGCTGGTTTTGGATTCACTATGTGGCCCAGGCTGGGCTCGAACTCATAGCAATCCTCCTGCCTCAGCCTCCTGAGTGTTGGGACTACAGGTGTGTGCCAGCATGCCCAGCTTGTTGTGCCTATTTCTTAAAGGATATTTTCTAGTTGATTAAAGAGACTTCTTATTCAAACAGAAAATCACAGAAGGAAACGTGTGGCTTCTGGTTTGAATGCAAGCTACTGTCCTCATCTCGTGCGGTCTCCAGGGGTCTGTCACCTATGGCGGATTCCAGGCATTAGATTGGTGCTCTGAGCTTAGGTGACTGTTTTCCTCTTTATGAAGTGAGCTGTGTCCCCAGTATCAGCAGAGCCACGTGTGAAGAGTGCAGTAGCCCAGCATGCCGGCCTGTTCCTCCCCTCGCCCAGTGCGATGCTGGTGTTCAGGGCAGCAGCTGTGCCATGAGCTGCCCCAGGGTGCAGTCCGTGAACACCCCGCCCTCCCCAGGCCTTTCTTCTTGTTGGTGGCCGCTGTGGGGCAGGTCAGTGCTCACCTCGCACAGTGGGCTGATGAGTGCGCAATAGGAGCAGCATGTCCACCCCAGGCTCCATCTAGGGCTGCGTCTGCTCTCAGCTCCAGCCCCAGTGCCTAGACCAGTGGTGGTGAATCTGTGGCCATTTGTATCATTGAAAGCCCTAAAACATTCGCTGTCACCAGTCTAGACGGCGCTGGCTGTAGGAGCCGACTCGCTCGATGAGCTGAGCGACGATCTGGCAGGGTGTCTGCAGGTCCCGGGCCCAGCGTGCTACGGCTCTGCTGAGGAGAAGGAGTAGGAGGTGCAGGCTAGGTGGGGCTGGCGCACTCACACCCGGAGCCACTTTGAGGAAGGCCACAGAAGGAGGAGGATGGCCGAGGACCCTAGCAGTCCGAGGAGAGGGAGAAAACCCTCTTTGTTGCTTCATTTCCCCACCTTGTGATGTAGCAGCCAGTCATGAATTCTGCAGGTCATTTCTCTGGTGACAGAGGGAAAGGGTGTGTGCTGTTGGGCTTTGAGAAAGTCAGGAAGAGCAGGAAGTGAACTTCTACCCATTCTGGCCCAGAGGCTGTGGGGGGCAGGTGGGATGGACCCTGGAAGGCCTCCATCTGCGCCCGGGTGCAGCCCCTTGCTGTCCTGTTACACACAGGGATACTTCAGGTGAGTGTGACCAGTTGACCTATCAGCTAGGACAATGGAGTATTTAAGGGGCAAAGGTAGCTCTAATGGCTGTACCCTTCTCTGGTGGACCTCGGAGTTGGATATTTCCCCCAAGAATTCAAGCATTGGAGTTTGAACCCCCAGGACCTCAGTGTGTGGCCTTGTTTGGAAATAGGGTTGTTGCAGATGTAGTTAGTGAAAATGAGGCTGTTCAGGTGGGCCCTGAATGCCAGTGTGACTGGTGTCCTTGTAAAGGAGGACACAGATCCACAGGGAGAACATTGAGGAGGACAGAGGCAGAGACAGGGCGAGGCCTCCACAAGTCACAGAATCCAGAGGCTGCTGGCTGCCACTGAGGCCAGGAGAGGGCTGGAATGGACACCTCGATCGTGGACTTTGGCCTCTGAGCTTCGGAGGACAAATTTCTCTTGTAAGCCGTGTGCCTGGGACACTTGTCAGGACAGCCTCGGTCTCTGAAGTAGGACTATCTTTGGCAAGGGAGTAACCAGGAGAATCTCTCCTTCAGATGTGTTCCCTGCTCCTGAAAACTCTCAGGAACTGAGCTGTGCCCCAGGCTCCACCCTGGTGGTGGGCAGCACCACGAGCAGGCTCGAAGCTCCATCCTGTGTACTTGGTGAGAGCTCAGAGTTTTGGAAATCTTTAGGACTAAGACGAATGTCTGTTTTAAATTCTTTTTTTTTTTTTTCCGGTACTGGGGGTCGAACTCAGGACCTTGTGCTTGCAAGGCAGGCGCTATTTTAAATTCTTACTGTTCTCTATTTTGTGCGTGTGTGTGTGTGAGCATGTGTAGGAAGTTTTATTTATTTATATATTTTTAAGAATATTTCTTCAGGCTTGAGGGATGAAGGCCACATTTGGATTATTTAACCTAGATTTCCAGTTTGGGTGAGGAAGTTGCTTCAGTCTATGAGGGGCAGTTTTACTGTTTCTGGCATATGTCAGCTGCTGTTGTGTGATTCTGTTCAGAAGCCCATGTCCATTACAAGCTGGAAACGGGCTGGGCACAGGGCTGGTGTCTGCCCTGTGCAGAGAAGTCGCCTGCTCCCTCCACACCCTGCGCCCCGGTCTGTGTGGCTGGCCCCTGCCATCAGCACTGGCCCAGCCGCAACTGCTGGGCCCAGCTCCATGTGGTCCCTGTGAACCCAGCCTCACGGCGGTACATGCTGGGAGGCCCCTCCCCTTTCCCGGCACTGGTCTGTGCACCATGTGTGAGTGACTCTTTCCTTCTTGTCCCCACAGAGTCTGTAGAGGAGGCAGCGCCGAGACTTCCAGATGAACAACCGAAAGGAAGATATGGAAATCACGTCCCATTACCGACACCTGCTTCGTGAGCTCAACGAGCAGAGGCAGCACGGGGTGCTCTGTGATGTCTGTGTGGTCGTGGAGGGCAAAGTGTTCAAGGCGCACAAGAACGTCCTGCTCGGGAGCAGTCGCTACTTCAAGACGCTCTACTGCCAGGTGCAGAAGGCGTCCGGCCAGGCCACGGTCACCCACCTGGACATCGTCACAGCCCAGGGCTTCAAAGCCATCATCGACTTCATGTACTCTGCCCACCTGGCCCTCACCAGCAGGAACGTCATTGAGGTGATGTCCGCCGCCAGCTTTCTGCAGATGACAGACATCGTGCAGGCCTGCCACGACTTCATCAAGGCCGCGCTGGACATCAGCATCAAGTCAGACACCTCGGATGAGCTCTCAGAGTTTGAGATTGGCGCCCCATCCAGCAGCAGCACTGAGGCTCTGATCTCAGCCGTGATGGCAGGGAGGAGCATCTCCCCGTGGCTGGCTCGGCGGACTAGTCCGGCCAATTCCTCCGGAGACTCGGCCATCGCCAGCTGTCATGAAGGCGGGAGCAGTTATGGGAAGGAGGATCCCGAGCCCAAGGCTGATGGCCCCGATGACATTTCCTCACAGTCTCTGTGGCCTGGAGATGTGGGCTACGGGCCCCTGCACATCAAAGAGGAGCAGATCTCGCCTCCTCATTACGGAGCGGGCGAGCTTCCCTCTGCCAAAGATGGTGTGGCGCAGAACTCGTTCCCAGAGCAGGGTGCCGGGGATAGCTGGCAGCCCTCAGGCCGGAGGAAGAACCGAAAGAACAAAGAGACTGTGCGGCACATCACACAGCAGGTGGAGGGCGACAGCCGGGCTGGCTCTCCAGTGCCCTCGTTCCTTCCCACGCCAGGATGGCCGTTCAGCAGCCGAGACTCAAGTAAGCCTCCCTTCATGACGAGTGGGCTTCAGACCCGGGCTCCGAGGTGGCCTGCAGGCTGTGGCCCGAGCAGTGCCTTTCAGCTCACACTGTGGCTCCCCGTGGTCACTCCCTTTGCCTGCAGGGAAGGCGGGTGACACACCTCAAAGGCCAGGGCCACATGAGGCCTTGGGGTCCGAGCCCGTCAGTGCAGCGCGGGTGCCCCAGACCCAGAGGCTGCCTCTGGCGGGGCTCCTGTGAAGCCAGGAGTGGATGGAGCAGTGGTGAGACAGTGTAGGGTGTGGATCTGGTGCCCTCTCTCCTATGGGAACTGACTGGGCGGTCAGTGGTCAGCAGAGGTCAGCAGCTGGAGATGCCCCCCCGAGTGCTGTCCGTGGTCTTGGTGCATGGTCTTTGGCACCTCAGCGGCGTCTGCTGAGGTGTGGCTGTGAAGGGCCTTTCTCCTAGGATGCATGTGGCACATTTGCTGTAAGTGTGGTTCCCGCAGCCCAGCTGGTACCTGTTCCACAGTGCAGGGACCTCCCTGGGATCCTTCAGAGGGTTCACTGTGCTGATTTTGAGGCCCTGACACCCAGCCTGTTGGAGGTGGCCCCCACAGCGTGTGTGACGGTTGATGAAATGTTCACTGAATAGGAGGTGCTGACCCTGGTGTTGAGCGCCTAATCACATAATCACGGCTCGCACTGAGCCCTTTCAGAGGAGCAGGTGGGGGACCAGCTCCCCTGTCCTTGCTGGGGCCAGGACTACAGGCCAGGTCGGGGGAGGAGTGGGCCCCCCCTGGCCATGCCTGCCAGGGGAGCCCCTCCAGAAGGAGCATTAGGAATCTCCCTGTGAGCCGTGAGCAGGTAGAGGCAGCCAAAAGCAGCAAACCTGAAAGATGCCCCCCGTGCGCTGGCCTGGGAGGCTGCCCTCCCCTCCTGGAAGGCTTCCTGGGCAGGATGGGCAGCAGGTGGGGCCCGGGGCCCTGCGGCTTCTCCTTTCCGTGGCTGAGGTGTCTCAGGAGCTGGGGTGAGGTGGGAAGGTCCCTGGGAGCCCCGAGCCTGGGAACCAAGCCAGACCTGATTCACGGTGGCTTTTCTCATCATGGCGAAGTGTGCAGAACAGAAAGTGAACTGTTATAAACTTTCTTTCAGTTCTGCAGTTTGAACCCAGGGGTGCTCCACCATTGCACTATATCCCAAGTCTTTTCTATTTTGAGACAGGGTCTCAATAAATTGCCCAGGCTGACCTTGAAGTTTCAGTCCTCTTGTCTCAGCCTCCCACAGAGCCAAAATTTTAGACATGTGCCACCATGCCCAGCTCCTTCTGATCATTTTTAAGTGTACAGTTCATTCTGTTCACGGCACTAAATGCCTTCCTGTTGGTGGGAACTCCTGTTTCTCCCAGAGGGAAACTGTGTATCCCTTAAACAGCGCCTTTCTCCCCTCATAGAAACTCTGTCCATCAGACAGCTCCTCTGCTCCAGTGGTGTGCCTACTCTAGTCCTCCTCAGCCCTGAGCTGCCTGTGCTCCTGCACTGAGCCCAGGGCCGGCCCCAGGGCACGTGGTACCTTGAGGTTCTTGCCCTTAGCAGCGTTGTGCTCTGGGTGGGTGTCCTGGACACGCTGGGATGTTGGGCAGCAGCCCTGCCCTCTACCCACTAGGTACCCATCACAGATCTCTCCTGGGTGCATGGCTGCCTCCAGGGCAGGCCTCCCCCACAGCCTATGGCACAGAATGAACCAAATCAGAAGGGTGGATAGAAAAATTGATCATTTTCCTGCTGGGTGTCCCTGTGGAGAGGCACCCAGGGCAGTAGGCAGGGACCATGACGTTCATAATCTTTCACCAGCTCCAGTCAAAACCTGAGAAGCAGCAGCCTCCATTCGTGTGCACAGACCTTCAGGGGCTGGCCGTGGGCTCGCATCTCCCACCTCCCAGGGCCCTTGTGCGTGCCCACGAGTCACCCACAGGTGATGACCTTGGGCCATTATGATCAGCTGCTAGACAGCAGGGTGCTCCTCGAGCCCATGGGCTAGATGTTGTAAATGCAACTGGAAGCAGAAGGTGTTTTCAGAATCCAACAAGTGATTTCGCCTGTGTACTTTCCTCAGACTCTGAAATCCTTGGTTACCAAGGCAACCGAGAACCGCTTCTGCTAGAGGATTCTGAGTACGAAGACAGGGACATGAGGTGTGGGCTCAAGCGTGGGACGATCCTGTGGGGCGTACTGGGCAGTCATTCCCTGAGTCCCCCACCCTCGCCCTTGGGCTGGGATTTGAACCGTAAATGATGATTCTTGGAGGAGGTCAGTTTGTTTTCATTAAAGATTCATCACATCGTAGAGAAGAGTATTTTTTATCCTCATTCCATTTATAGGCGAAAAGGCCCTTTTCTGCTTTTTCTTTTATTTGAGACAGGGTCTTGCTACGTAGCTCAGGCTGGCCTCAAACTGGAGGTCCTCCTGCCTCAGCCTCCCGAGTGCTGGGATTGTAGGTGTGCACCACAACTGGGGAAAAGGCCACTTTCTAAAGGAATGTGTCAGGCAGTTACTGCACATCACTTGGGGCACGTGATGCGTGCCAGCCAGGGCTGCCCACCGTATTTGCTCTGTGTGTCCCTGCCTTGGCTCCTAGGGCCCTGGGATCTGTTAACTGTTCAGGGCGGTTTCCCAAGCAGAAGTTCAAATTCATTCTGACCTAGCAGCTGCAAAGAAACAGTGTCTCTTGTGGTTTCCTTTCGAACTGCAGCAGTTCATTCATGGGTGAGCTGGTTGGAATAGTGTTAGAATGGGTAGCTCTCTCGATGCCTGTCTGCAGGGTGAAGGCTGTAGGTCCCCAGGGAGACTGCTAAGGCTTTGCTGAGTTGGGTTGGGAGTGGTGGAGGGTTAGTCCGGGGCTCTGACCAAATGCCCCATGCTCATTCCTGAAAGTTCTGCAAGAAGAAAGCTTTATAGCTAGAATAAAGCCATAGGTTTTATAAAATAAATGTGCTAAATTTTGGTTCGGTTAGAACTTGATGTGTTGGGATTTTTGAGAACACATCGGGACCACAGAACAGCTCCAGTTGGCAGCCGGGTCCCTGAAGGCTTCTGTCCGCCCACAGCCTGGCAGCCTCTGTGCTTGGGGAAGGCTGAGTGGCCCTGTGCTGCTCCCTGGACCAGGCCAAGCCCCTCTTCTGGAGCTCAGTGCTGGAGGTCTGGTGGGGCTGCAGCGATGTCCCGGGGTGGGGAAGGAGGAGCCTCACACAGGTGGGGTGGGGGGTGGACTGGGCTGAGGAGCCACTGGCTGTGGAGCCTTGGGCTGCAAGTCCGCCCTGAGCTCCCTTGCGTGCCGGGACCTGTCTGCCCCTGGATGAGGACACACCTGAGCCCGCTGCCCTCCGGGTGCCAGGGGCCCTACCATCCCTCACCACTGATGTGTCACCTTTGGTGGCTGCCATGTGGAAAGTGTAGCACATCTGATTGTCTGGAAAGACAGTCATCTGTGCAACCGTGGCCTTGATATGGGGGTGGAAGGGCCGAGTGACAAGGTGACACCGTGTGTTCCGGTGCATTTCCAGGCGGGGCTGGACTGGTCTCCACACTCGCACCCCCAGCCCCGGAGCTGGGACCCTCCCTACTGCGAGGTTTCCTCCACTTCTGAGCACAAGTGGCCAAACTAGCTTCCGACTGGTCTGAGTTACCTGTGTGGGTGGCCGCAGGTGACCCAGGCCTCATTCTGTGAGGGCCGTTTCTGTTGCTGGGAATCGGGAGAGCTCAGCCTCCTCCTGTGGACCCAGAAGAGGAAGTGCTGGTAAAGCGGAGCAGGGGGACAGGAGAGGCTGAGCCCAGCAGTGCTGTGTCCTTCCGCGAGGGACTGCTGGCCGGAAGAGGCCTGTGCTCAGCGCTTCTGATGGCCAAGGCTGCCCTTGCGAATTGCTGCCCCGTGTCCCTGCATGCAGAGCACTCTTACCACTCACTGGGTTTGCTGAGAAGCTGAATTCACAGAGGGTGCAGACGCTGCCAGCCCAAGCATCTGGCAGGGTGAGGACCCGGGACCCAAGCTTGTCTGGTCGCACAGGGCTCCGTCCCCCATCCTGAAGGGCCTAGCCACCGCCTGCCCCGCTCTGCCCTGCCAGGTGTTGTGAGCGGGCCTGAGCTGGGAGGGCAGGTGGGCCACTCTGGGAGGCTGTGCTGGGTGTGGTAGAGGCCCTGAGGAGGAGGCAGGGGAGTGACTGTTGGATGCCGAGCCAGCTGCGCAGCTGCTGTCTCCCGCAGCACCTGTTTGGGGTGCAGTTTCTGCCACTCCAGTTTGTGGGACTTGGCCCTGCTCTGGGTGCAGCCCGGGTTGGGGCTCTGCAGCAGGGAGCTCTCCCACCCCGGGCTGCCCAGCTGTTCTCTCTTCAGTGTACCGGTCTCCACGCTTCCTTGCTTGCTTTGTAGATGTGCAGCCGGCTAGAAGGCTCCTGTCTTAGTGTGGGAACTGAACCCAGGGCTCTGCACTGAGCTGTGTCTCTGGCTTTACTTTTTTTTTTTTTCAATTTTGAGACAGAGGCTTGCTAAGTTGATAAATTGGCCAGGCTGTGATCTCCCTGCCTCAGCCTCCCACAGTACTGGGTTACAGGTGTGTGCCATGCGCCCTGTTTTTGTTCTCTTTCATTCTTTTCTGGCATTGGAGCCCTGCCCAGCCCCCACTCTGAGATGAGGGTCTCACTGATCTGCTCTGCTGGGCTTGAGCCCGTGACTCCCCTGCCTCAGCCTACCAAGTAGGTAGGATGGCAGGTGTGTGGTACTCTGCGGGTGCAGGAGCATAATTTTAAGTGTTCTTTTGGAAATTTTTATGTCACTGCTTCCTTCAGACCTTTTTAGGCCAGGGAACATAGCTCAGTGCTTAGCATGCACGAGGTCCTGGTTCCATCCCCAGCACTGCAAAATAGGAAAAAAGGGAGGGGAGGAAGTTTTAAAAACTCAGGTGTGACTCATGCACAGAACAGCACAGAAGCCCAGCGTCTGCCTCCCAGTTGCCCAGTGCCCCTCATAC